TTTGCAAAGAGATATAGTTCTATATCATGGTCATTGATAGAACAAGTCAAGAATGATAGTTTCAAATGGGGGAAAGTAGTCATCCTGGCGTTTGAGCAACTAAAGAAAGCCATGCTAAGTGTCCCTCTATTAGCCCTGTGAAGTTTTAGCTAGCCATCTGTAGTGAAGACTGATGCATTAGGCTATGGGTTGGGGGCAATTCTCACGCAGAGTCAAAGGTTCATAGCTTATTTCAGCCAAGTATTAACCGCTAGGACCAAGATGAAGTTGGTGTATAAAAAGGAGATGATAACAATAATGTTGGTAATACAAAAGTGACGTCCTTATCTGTTGGGGTGATACTTCATAGTTAAGACTAACGAGAGGAGTTTGAAGTTACTATTAGAACAAAGGATGGTGACATGAGCATTAGTAGTGGTTTTCCAAGTTATTGGGTTATGACTTCGAGATCCAAGACAAGCCTGACATAGAAAATAAAGCTACATGGGAGCAATAAAAGATGATCAAGAGATAGTTCTCATCCTTCCACCTTGAGGACAAGGTTCACTTTTTGTAATGGAGTATTATTACAGCATAAGGGGGCTGGGCGGAATCAGGAAGGGAGCCAAGGGGAGGGTTCGGCCAGCCTTGTAGGATCCAGGAGAGCTGTCATGCATTATAAAAGGAGGAGAAATCAAGGAAACCAGTTTAGGAAGGTTTCCTAAGTATGTTTATTCTATTTAGAAAGATTTTAATTGTTTAGAAAGGTTTCATAAACTATGGTTATGTTGTATAGGAAGGTTCTATTTGTGTTATTGTATGCTAGGACTATTTAAGAGAAAGTTTTGTCTAATGTTAAGGGCATGAAATAATTTGCATTTGTTGTAGTTTTATTTTAGATAGCTACCTAGCGGCGTCTAGGGTCCGTGGGAGAGCTGATCTACTTCTCGAATAGTGTATCAATTGTATCTTTCTATCGCGTTAAAGAGATAATCAAATTTAAGCCGTAATCTTTGGATTCCTGTATTTAATTTTATGATTGCCTACTTGTTATTTTTACTTTCAAGATGCATCACCGTGTTTATGAAGCTCAGTGAGAGTACAAAGGTTTTGGTTCGAAAAATCATAAAAAAGAAGCTTCAAGCTTGTTTCAATTCATAAAGAGATCAGTGAAGTTTACATATATGTTGTGGTTTGGATTCATCAACAAAATGATTATATCCTCGAATTGATGATCTTAGAGGAAGGCATTGTTGAATGCTATTTTTAGATAGTGATACTAAGAACAATATGGATAGTTGTAGGTTACATAACTAAATTGAAAGTTTCACTGTAATTGATGTTAGGGCATTGGCTAAAGCCCTGGCAACAAACAAGCTTCATGGCATTCAATGCTACCATCAACGCAACATTCGATTCTGAAATCCATTTATAATGCATAAAATTTTGATGAGGTTTTCATGGGATAATATCCCCTGTATTATTTTGATGGAGGGTGTCCATCTCAACATGCATTGATCGCATCTCTCCATTTGGAAACTTTAATGGCTTATTTTGATGAGGAAGGTTTGAGAGAGGTTCGCAAGAGGGATTTTGTGGTAACAAAGAAGAGTTTGGCAGCAGGTTTAAAAATATTATTCTTTGAGCGGGATGTCATGGAAGAGGATTCGGGCAATTCTCGAGCATTAGGCATAGAGATATATTTTGTATTGTAGGAATATATCTTGAGGGAAACTCGATTGAGGACAAAATTGTGTTTATGCATTTTAATTGGGTTGATTGCATCTCTAAAGAGGTCCATCTGAAAGATTTGATGGTTTTGTTGGTGGTATTGTTGAGGAGGATAAGGGTGGAATTGCAATAGTGAGCGAGGTGGTAAGATTGACTAGATCAATTGGTTTTGGAGGGTAGTAGAGCAGATTAATGACATTGGTTGATAATGGAGGAGAAATTGGTGGTGGTTTAGTGAATGAAGGCATAGTAGAGGGTTTAAACATAACTATTGAAGAGAAAATTGTATGAGTAAAAGGCCATCCAAGATCTGAAGAGGCAAAATTGGTAGATGTGAGAGCGAGGATTAATGTAATTGAGGTATAATTTGGGGGAGTAATAGAAAAGGAATTGGAATTTGGGCCAAGGAACTTATTTAATGGGATTGATTTAATTGAGGTGGAATCGAGGGGGTCGCCTATGATGCAAGTGCGCGCGCGCACAGGAGCGTGGAGGGAAATAAAGAGATATGATAAATTGAATTTGATAGTGAGCCAGTGGGATGTGTCAGGAGAGTTATTAGGGGTGGAGAGGTAGATTGGGCGACAAAATTTGGAACTAAGCAATGAGAGCTAACAGTGAGATTTGTGGAGGAATTGAATTTGATAGTGAGCCAATGGGTGTGGCATGGGAGGGGAAATAAAAGAGGAATTGAGGATGGCACGGGAAATTAATAAACTGAACTTGATAGTCAATAGCGTGGGTCATAGGAGTAATTAGGGATGGAGAAGAAGATTGGGGGCGTGGGAATTTGGAGCTAGGCAATAAGAGATAGCAGTGGGATTAGTCGAGGAATTGAAGGGAAGATTTGTATATTTGGTAGATGAGGATTATATGTGAGATGATTATTGATGCTCAATGGAGCATTAAATTGTTGTAAATTTGATTTTTATTTTATTTATTTGTTTTGGGTGTGTGCGTTGGGGAAGGGGAAGGAGGGGAGGCACAAGAAATTGGTAAATTGAATTTGATTGCGAGCCAGTGGGGTGTGGCATGAGAAGGGGAATAAAAGAGGAATTGGGGGTAGCATAGGGAATTGATAAATTGAATTTGATAGCCAGTAGGGTGTGCCATGGGAGTAATTAGGGATGGAGAGGCAGATTAGAGGCGTGGGAATTTGGAGCTAGGCAATGAGAGATAGCAGTGGGAATTTGTGGAGGAATTGGAGAAAAGATCTTTATTTGATAGACTGGGATTATAAGCGGGTTGATTATTGATGCTCAATGGAGCATTCCATTGTTCTAAATTTGAATTTGAATTGGGAGCATCACATATGGAGCCTAATGAATTGCATGGCCTATTTGAATAGAGTGAATTATTTGATTTTGTCATTTTTGTGGAGGGTGGGTAGAGATGAAAAGTGATTCTCTATAAATTGAACATGGCCAGAGATAAAAATTGAATGTGTCATGGGATCGAAACAAATTTAGGGGTTATGAAGATTGCAATATCCTAGAAAAATATATGGTTTAGACCATTGTTCGAATTTATTTTTGGTGTATTGTCTAAGCCATGGCTAGCAGAGGCACCATAATATTTTAATTTTAAATCATTTGGGGTTTTTTGAAGGAGGCAATATGAGTATTTGTTGTTTAATATGGGTGTTAGAAGATGATTAACAAGATAGATGACATGGACCAATGGAGAGAGAGCCATAGGGAAAGTGATAGGGCCACATGATGGAGAGTTTATCATGTGTTCAATGCCTTTGTATTCTTTGCCACCATCAGTGTAGATAATGGTAATTGACGTGTTGAAATAATTTCCAACCATGTATTTGAGTTTGGTAAAAATTGAGTGAGAAACTGATTTATGTGCTATGGAAAAAAGCCAAGAGTACTTTGCAAAGTGATTGAGAAAGATAATATAATATGAAAGACCATTTATGGAATAAATTAGGGATGTATCCCAAATATCGTAGTACAAAAGATTTAATGGATGCTCACTTGACATGCTTAAATTATAAAAAGCTTGTTTTGTGACTATTGCCGGATTGGCATAAGTCATAAAAGGATACATTCGATGATTTTGAGTGAGCAAGGGGTTTATTTGTGGACATGGTGTGATATGGTATTTTCAGGAAGGATGACCAAGATGATCATGCTAGTATTCAAGGGTAGGTTTTTGGCACACATGGGCTTGTTTGAAGTCCAATGGAGTCTCCTTGATGCTTGACCACTCTTACACATTATTTCAGCTCCGCCCTCAAGCTAGAGTCTCCTTCGGAGTGAGATACTTGATAGAAAAAGAGGTAAGGCTAATCTCAGTTGTTCAAGATTAGCAATGCAAAATTGACATAAAGATATTAGATTTTGTTGCATGTTGGGAGCACATATACCATTATCAAGGAGAACAGGGATGGAGACAGTGGATAGATAGGTATTGCCAGCGTGAGTGATTTCAATACCTGCCTTGTCTCCAACACTGACATCATCAGAACCTTCATAAGGCATAAGAGAGTTTGCGTATATCTGATGGGATGTAATGTGAAGCGGAGCTATTAAGAAGCCATGCTGGTTGTGAGCCCCAGTTATTGGTGGTGCATGTTTAGCCTTGGGCGGACTGGGTAGCCCCATCAGATGTTTTACTGTGTAGCATTCTTATGTTGTATGGCAGCATTTTTCACATAACTAATAAAGTACGTTAGAGATCATCGTGAGTTTAGATAGGGGGCTTGTATTTCTAGCATTTGATTTCAATTTTGTTTTTTTTTTAAGAAACCAGGTTTGTTATCATTGAAGTTGTGCTCACAAGAGTTCTTGATAGAAATTGGGAGAAGACTATTATCTTGTGGGATCCGTTTAGGGAAGTTTTCATATTTGGTGACCTCCTTGACTGACGGTAGGAGAAAGTTGTGGCTTTTCACTCAATATGCCAAAAAAATTAAAAATAAACTAGCTGCATTTCTTCCATAAACTGCTAGAAAGTTCAAGCAAAAATATAAAAAACAAAATATCACTGGCATGAACAAGTAGCATGGACCATTAAAGTAGCTGTATGAACGCAGTGACACAGATGCATAACAAAGCTCACCGTTCAAATTTACCCAGCAAACAGATAGAATCAAGCCATTAATCGATTCCCGAGAGAGTGAAAGAGAGAGAGAGAGAGAGAGAGAGAGAGAAAGAGGGCGTAGCAAAAAACGAATCATGACATATATAAACAATCCAACCACAACAACAGTAACAAAGAAATATAGAGCAGCACAATGGACAGGAATAAATCATTAGAGGAAATGTAAATTAGCATGCAGGATCTCGAGAGAGCTCACAGATAACAGAGCGATCGGAGGATTAGATCGGAGCGACCGAGCGGTGCAGGTAGCACTGTAGCAGATAGCCCGAGTAGGACCGAAACTCCTGCGAGGTTTAGCGTTTAAAGTATTCCCCTTCTTATCTCGCCTGATTTGGATCGTCCAATTACAACCTTGAGGCGTGGATGGACACGACCCCAAAATTTGATCAAAAAATTTTAGGATTTTGACTGGTTTATAAAATCGGGTATGTTTCGGATAATCCGGAAACCCAAAATCAATTTGGGTTGACTCATAAACTATGTACGTCGTATTTTCTCGTCGACGTCCAACAGCGTGAGTGCAACAGTGCGTGACCGCATCTGACGTCACGTGAGTACCTGACCGCACCTGACATCTCGTCGCGTGTGAGGCTGAGAGCCAAACGTCGTCTCGTGCCATCGTTCACGCTGGCTGAAAATGTCGCCCCGTGCGGTCGTCCATCGAAGTCGTCTCAAGGCTCTCTTCTGTGTCATTGATGTCGTATGTGCTAGACATACCAGCAAGGCCGCACAGCCACTGTGCCTTTGGTCTTCCCATTAGTTCGTCTGGCTCCTGTTGCGCTCCTAAATGCATGTGATCCTAACCCCCCTGGGTCGACTCGGGTCCCCGCCTCATCATTGCCATCGTTGTCAAGGTTTGACAATCCTGACGACCCGTTTGCGAAATCAGGTCGAGTTAGAATCAACCCGTTTGGACCCGGGTCAACTCGGATTGGACTTGAACCCGACCATTCAACTCATTTTAACACCCCTAATGAATGGGGTGTGAAGGTGTATATTTATATCATAATACTTTTGATGTATTTTATGTTATAATAGGATTATTTTTCCGTATGTACTAAAGGGCTATTGAGCTATTTGGTTGGCTCAAAAAGAAATGCAATTTAAAAATATATTTTTTGTTTAAAATATTTGGTAATTGTTTAGATAAGTGTAAAATAAATACAATTGATTATATTTTTTGTTTAATTTCAAATAAAATTAATGTATTATAAAGTCTAAAGACGGTGTGGTGGTGGTGGTCGGTGACAGACAATAACAAATAATGGCGGACAATGACAGTGGGAACATTAGCAAGCAAAAGGAGGCAGTAATGATAGTGGTAGTGGTAGTGTTAGCAGCCGAGTTTACATTTTATAAAAAATAGACTATAATATTTTATACTACTAAAAGAAATACTTTACACTCATTTTACTACAAAATAAGAGTCTCTAGGTCTTTTTTTTTTTTTTTTTTTTTTTTTTTTTTTTTAAATGAACTTGAATATTTTATACTACAAAAAGAAATACTTTAGATTGCATTTATTTTTCATCCGATCAAATACTAATATTTTTAAAATCCTAATTCTTTACATTCATTTTAGGCTAAACGAAAGAGTCTCCAAGTCATAATAGTTTTTTTTTTTTATTTCTAACGATATTTTATGCATGACATTATTTTTTTAACATAATTTAAATATTAAATAATTTATTTAAATTATTAAAAAAATGCAACTAAGTCATTAAACAACATAACTAAATAATTAGATTTTCACAAATATAATTGATATATCATAAAAAAATTATATTGGTTCGGGACGAATCTTGAGGCAAAACTAGGCTGGAAGTTTCAAAAAGTAAATCTTGGACCATATGAACTTCGATTTTAGCGAACTTATAGTCGAACTAAGCATCTCTGAAATACGAACCCAACGACACCAAATTTGACTCAATCCGAGCCCAAAATAGTTCAAATCAAAGACTAAAAGCACATTCAAAAGGTTCAATTCATAACTTGGATTATCAAACAGTTTTCAAATATGACATGCTTATAGTTAAAATGAGCGGCTCAACGAGAAGAATCAAACGATCCCAAGATTTCAAATTCTGATATCATTAGAGCCTTCAAATACCTGATATAAACGATCTACAATAAAGAGATTCAACATCGGTCGTCCATTCAAACCACTCCCAATTTACCCACGATCTTCCTCCTATTTATTGGCCATGTCATTCTTAAAAATTATAAATAGTCCCTCATTTCTCGTAAAAGCGGACCCAAGCAAGGAGAACAGAAGAAGAGAAGATTGAGAAGAAGAGAAGGAGGGAAGAGATAGAATAAGCTCCTCCTCGATCGACTATCGCCATAGTTCCTCCTGACTTTCAAGTGACGCTAGATTTCCGTCCGACCTCCAAGTGACGCTGGAGTTCCTCTCCGTCTGACCACCAAGTGACGTTGAAGTTCCTCCCGACTTTCAAGTGACGTCAGAGTTCCGCCCGACGTTCAAGTGGCGCCGGAATTCCCCGGACTTCCTAGTAACGTTAGAACTCTGTCCGACAAACAACATACACTAATTTTCTGACACCAGCGTTCTGATATCCGTTTGCAATTGAATTTCAACCCGAGAGTTGATTATTATAATATGATCGTTCTGAATTTTAAGGACGAGTCAGCATCTTGTAACTCAAGCAAACACTAGTGAAATTATTTTAACTTGGGCGTGGCCGTGTTTTTTCTCTTTCCAGGGCTTTCACGTAAAAATCCTTGTGTTGTATTTCTCATTTGTTTGTGTGTTGGATATTCGTACAACGCTGAGATGAAAAATTTTAACTCTATCACTGCGTATATTCTAACCCGCAACAATAATTATTATAGAAAATTAAAAGTATTGTGAATTTTTAATAATTTAATTATATTATTTAATAATCCAATTGTAAATATCTAAAATTTAATTAAATCATCTAATATTTCCGTGTATTAAGTAATATTATTTTAAACATAAAATTATGAATACTTAGACAAAAATAACTCCATCTTGATGTAAAATACATCAAAATACCTGGAGCAAATATCAAAAGATGTAGACAATTGCATTTAATTCTAATAACTTAATTCAATTTTAATCATTAGAATAGAGTTCCTCCAAGTAAACTTATTTTAATTTCAAGATCACTCACGCTTCATTTGGGATGGCTTTCTTACTACTTTAAGAAGCAGTAAGAAAGTCATCCCAAACGAAACTTGAATCTTAGTCATGCTAAGCGTTTGTTTGGGACAAATCCAATTTTTATAAATATAGTTATAAAGCTATTGTGAAGAAAACAGTTTTTGTTTTTATAAAAAACAGTTTCCTAACAAAAAAATTTATTAAAAGCATTGAAAAATATAACTAATTAAATAAAAATTGTGATTGTGATTTCAAAGGCAAAACAGTAATTAAGGAAGATATATGTCTCAAGCAAAACCTAAGTAAAATAAAATCGTGGAATTAGTTTTATCATCATGGAGAATTGATTTTACATTTGGGTGAGCATACAAGTAGGTTAGTTTTTTTCTTGAAGGCATGCAACACAATGAAGCTGTTGTGTTCATCAAAAATTGCATGCATGGAACGTAAATCATATAAAATATTTTAAAGAAGGCATCACATTAAAAAGTGGATTGATTCATAATGATCAACTACTTAAGGTCTATGAGACAAGAAATTATTCATTTATCAAATATGTCTAGACCTCGATTTTGAGGTTGCCAAAAAAAAAAAGATAAATCTTAATGACTTTTTTCCCATTAATTTACAAAGGAACAAATCATATGTTATAAGGAAATATGCATTTATTATCTTGTGAGAATCATAGATTATAGCATTTCAATGTTTAGCTATAAAGTTGTCTTTAGTAATGTTGTCACCTTAATATGCAATAGCGACTACTACTTATGTCTAAGGAAGTTTTGTGTGCTATTGGACTTAGTTGAGGTGAACTGAGCTTCTGTTTTATAGCCCCTCACTCCTGGACTTGAGTAGGTTTTAGCAAACTAATGATCCAAGCAAATAAACAGTTTAATGAGTTTATAAAGTTCTATTTGGGACAATTTTAGATCATAGTTTTTTCTTTGCTTTTAAGATATTTTTGTTCTAAAAACAGTTTTGTAAAACAATAAGAAAGTCATCCTAAACGAAACCTTATGAGTCACCAGTCTTTGATGAGTTGGCAAGTCTTACAAAATGAACTAATTTGTCCTAACGTGATACCTCGAATCCCTTTAGCTAGATTTCAATAGGGCCCTTGGTCATATATGTCTTGGGGTGTACAATAATGATAATATTTTAATCATCATGAATTAGCTTTATGAATAATTTATGCTTATATTATTAATTACCTTTGGTTGTGACTTATTTAGCATTTCCAACAATATAATACACACCAATTATAGGAATATGCTCCCAAAACTTTTTCATTATTTTATGATGTCCAATAACTCAATCTCCATCACATGACTAAACTCAAGTAAAGCAAAAGGGTAAAATTATAAAAAGTCTTTACATGCTATTTTATATTATATCATCCTTATATCAAATCAAACCACTTAGCTCATAGCTTCTTTTATCCAAAAATTTTAACTTAGCTCCAATCATACAGCTTTTCACTTAGCTTAGCCTCATTTATCTTGCACAAATAGACAATAAAAACTTCCTTAAATGATCAAGAATGGATGTAAATATTTGAACATCAAATTATACCAAAAATATTATAAAAAAATAATAATTGACTAAATAAGAATAGATGTAAATACATTAATTTTTTCTAGACTAACATGATCAAACTTGAACTACCTTGGCCTAATTAAAACTCTTAGGAAATTTTTGTAACAGTGCTACAGTATTATGATCAAGGTTGTTGTAAAAAAATAACTTAATTTATTATATATTTCTCGCAAATAAAAAGCTCTTCAACACTAGAATTTTTTTATCAGGATTGAACAGACCGGCTTGCAACGAAAAGAAGATTCTAAACTACAACGTGAAATCCTTGTAACGAAAAATAGATTCTATATACTCTACTATAATATAGTCCGAAACTTGAAACTAGAAACTTGAGATAGTAAAAAATAATAGCTTCATAAAATAATGATTATTCCAAATTTTGAGGCTTCATTTGAGATATTGTTATTGATTTTTATAAAAGTTTTCAAAAACATAAATTTTATAAAATCATTAAAAAATAATAAAAATAAATTACTCCAAATGAAACTTCCATCACAATACTTATATAATACATATATATAATCAATGTACCAACTTTTTTTTTTTTTTTTTTTGAAGTCTGAGGCTGTGCTGCCCCAACCGTTAAAATATCCAAAAATATTCCATTTCGCCACCTTCCTCCATCTGCAGCCACACCAACCAGTCCTGCCACGTACCTTCCTCTCTCACCATATAAGCTCTTAACCTCCGACGTGTACTTCCGTCTCCCACCCATCCTTTCCCCTCTCCTCCTCTTAACAAACCATCCATTTCTTCTCTTTTCGCTCAGACGACACCGATCACCACCATGCTTAGCAACCAAAGCTGCGCAAACTCTGCAAACAAGTCGTCCAAGGAGATTCAGCCTCGGGAGAAGGAGGAGGAAACCGGTCCGGAGCGGCTAAACCGGCTCCGGTCTGAGATGGCTGGCAAGGTTTGGATACCGGAGATATGGGGACAGGAAGGTTTGCTCGAGGAGTGGAGCGATTGTACTGCTTTCGACCGTTCCATGGCGCCCGACAGGTTGCTTCTTTCTGCGAGGCGGGCTTTGGTCGCCGAGTATCTGAGGCCGCCCAACTCCGCCGATCTAAGGATAGAGAACCGCTGTTCTTGAATTTTATTTTTATTTTGTTTTTAAATTATGCTGTTTTAAACACAATATTTCGATAATTATTCGACCTGCTCGCTTCTTTACGGAAGTAAGTACTCATGCGTACTTTCTGTACTTTGTATTGATACATTTACTATAAAATTCCCGTATGGGTTAATATATTATGATTTTGCTTATGCTTTGCATTGAAGTTGATTATGTTAAAGAGATTTGATAGCTTAAGGAATTAAAGGAAGTAGACAAATTGCATTAGGTGTCTCTCTTCTTCCTCATTAGAGACATTAGGTAACAAGGACACCAAGGTTTCATCTGGCCGGAATAGTTTTTCGCCACTATTATTTTGTTGTTTTTAAGAAATTTTTATATTAGAAAACTGACGTAGTAATCAACAAGAAAATTATCTCCAACGAAGCTTTGACTTAGGCTTCATTTGGGATGGTACTGCTTCTTAAAGAAGTTTTTTTAGTATAACTTATGTGTTTAGATTTGTTGGGTGATAGTAAAAAAATATTTGAGAAGCATCTCTCAAAGTGGGAATCATACTTTAGAGTATACATATTATATAGGGCTAGCTATTCATTTAGTTTACCTTTCATAATAAAGAATAGCTCTATAGTCTAAGTGCTTTTATTACTTTTATTACTTAAATTAAAGTTATGGGCAGCTGAAGACACATGTGTTGGAATCATGCATTTCATAATTACATAGGCCAGTTAGGGCCAACAGCTTTAATGAGGCTGAATACTTGTGTGCCAACAATGCAAATAATAAGGCCAAGTTCTTCCACCCAACATATTAAAGGGTGTATAAATGTTGGTCAAAGTCATGCCATGATATAGGAAGCAGCTTGGACACTGAAATTATAACTTGGAGACAAAAATGGTTCGGTGCCACATTCCACCGAGGTCCTTATTAATATGCAACTCTCCATCTTAAATTGCTTGGGAATCTCTTTTGCATAAGCTTTTGTGAGATGAAGATGTCTTCATTATTTTGCTTGACTTATATCCTAGAAAAATTGGGCATATGTCCATTACTGTCATATCAAATTTTTATTTCATGATTTGCTTGAAGTCCTTTAACATAAGTGGATTATTGCTTGTAAAATAAGATCATTTACATACATGCAAACAATCTCTCTCCATATTTATGCATTTTAGTATAGAGGACACTTTCATATGGGCATTGGATATTGTAATTTTGTTAAGTAGTAATCAATCGTTGCATTCAATGCTCTTCTTTCTTGTTTTTGTCCATAAAAATATCATTTTAGTAATTTATAAACCATTGCTTCATGATCATTTTTTATATATCTTAACAATTTTCAGCATATATATTTTTTTTCTTTAATCGATCCATTTAAAAAGGTATTTTCACACATCCATTTGATTAGTAGACTAACCTTTTTTATTCAATATGAAAAAGGATTAAACAAAAAATTTTGTTCAAATAATTATAACAAATGCCCAACATAGTTAATGTCTGCTTTTTTACTTCTATTCTTTTGCTACCATATCTTTATGTTAGCACACATGGAATAAAAAGTCGCAAGCACTCACTTAGCCAGTGTAGATCACCTGCTCTAGCCACCACTCGTTCCATATTCTCTGCTATATCAGACTGCCACCAACGGCTTGCATACATTCCTTCTTCTTCTCACATGTTACATCTATATATATATACAAGACTTATGTAAAGGTAGTCGAGTAATATATGAAATGCTACAATAAATCAATATCCTCTGCATGTTATTTTCTTCTTCTCTGCTTGTCTAACCTATGCAGGTGTTTTTTCATTGTATCAGAGTAGTGAGCTTCAGCGCATATCCTTCCTCAATGGCCGATGAAGCTTCCTCCTCAGCTATCCCTCCAACTTCCTCATTGTCTGCATTGATGGCAAAATTCGCCATCTCATCTCCTTTAAAGTTCCTGATGTCTAATCTCAAGCTCATAGTTAACCTACAGCTCAACAATAAAAACTATGCTATTTAGAGCTTGTAGATATACAAACTATATCTTTGCAGTTATCGAACATCAGTATTGTCCCAGCAAAACTCCCACCCACCCTGACCACCATCTGTGGCATCTCATTGACCAAAACCTTTGTCTTTGCCTTGCTATCCAGGATTTCCCCATCCGTTCTACCTCTCATTCTCCATTGCTCCTCTACTCATGAAATCTGACTCGCATCGGTGAATCATCTTCAAGCGACTAGCAGATCATGGGTGATCCAATTGAAGAACAAACTTCATAACATACATATGAGGGACAACACAATGCACCAATACCTTGCTCAAATCAAAACTCTAGTTGACAATATTGTAGTCGTCGGCTCACATGTTGATTCTGTGGACATCATTCTCTATATCCTAAATTGCTGGCCGTCCACGTACAACTCCTTCAAAACCCCTATTCACACCTCTTTGCAGCTCATCAGTTTAGATGTCATGTATTCACTTCAATGCATCAAAGAAATCAACATTCAGAATGAGTTGCATAAGGAAACTATTCCTTCACAAGACTACCTTGCTCTGTACTCAGGTCCTACAAGACGTACACTTCGGAAGCAAAGATCAACTCCTCCAATCGTGGTCTAGGATCAACCTCTCGTCCACCATTCAACTGAGCTCGTCCTACACCTATCAACACCAACACCCGCCCAACCTGTTAGATATGTGGCAAGATAGGCCATACTGCCCGTACCTGTTGGTGTCGCTGCAACCTCCAATACTCTGCTTCTCCGTCAGGATTGTCCCGAGCAGTGCTCTCTTAACCTCAAACCACCTCCATTATTGAATGGGTAATTGAATTGGGAATTTCATTTAACCTCACTGTCGATCCACACAACCTCCAGCAACCCACACCATACTTCGGGTAGGTGACACGACGCGAAAACTCGACCCAGAAAATCCGGGTTGGACCTCACCCGTTTGAAAAATGGGTCGGGTTCAGGTTTGCAAATTTGATCCATTTGAAAAAAATGGGTTGGGTTCGGGTTGACCCGACAGGTTGCCCGAAAACCTGTTTAAAATGACTGCCCGGATGGCCACCCCTACCCCGCGGCTACCCACGCGCCATCCGAAGCTGCCCGCGCGCCTGCCGTAGCTGCCAGCGCGTGCTCGCAGTCAGCCACCCGCATTGCCCTTGCGGTTGCCCGTGCACCTGTGTGCGCGAGTTTGTGCCCACGTAAGCGTGCTGCAGCACACCCGGCCGCGCACCCTCCTCCCAAGCCAATGGCACACCCGTCGTGTCTCGCGCTCCCGCACACACGCTCACCTGCCTGCGTTCCTCACACCCACCCACGTCCCGCGCACCTGCCACCCCAGCCAGCCCACGTCCCATCGCCGCCAGCGTCCACTCTCGACCGTGACCCGTTCGCGCTAGTCTATTTACTGTGTCAGGTCGAGTCAACCCGGCAACCCGTCAGGTCGGGTCCGGGTTCAAATATTCGACCCGTTTACCTACCCGGGTCAGGTTAGGGTCGACCCGATTGAACCCGGGTCAGTTCCGGGTTCGACCCGAACCCGACCCGTGACCCGAAATTGACACCCCTAACTTCAAGCATGACTCTATTTCTATAGCAAACAACAACTCACTACCCATTCAACACCAAGGCCAAGGTATCCTTCCACTACATAACACACCTCGTAAGCTTCTCCTTCATAATCTTCTCCATGTACCATCTCTCTCTCTCTCTCTCTCTCTCTCTCTCTCTCTCTCTCAACTTACTATCCATTCACAAACTAACTTCTGACAATAACTACTCCATCTCCTTTGATTCTTATGGCTTTATAATTCAGAATATGGTGGACAATCAAATCCTTCTTCACGGTCAAACCCATGATGGTATCTACTCAATCTCTTCCACCAACAGCATCTCAACCACTGCGCTTCACTCCAAGCCTATCTCAACTTCATTGTGGAACGATCGCCTAAGTCATCTTCATCATCGTGTTATGCAACTCCTGGCCAAACTTATCTGATCTATATGTATCTCCTCTAGTTCTTTTCTATGCAAGTCATGTAATATGGCAAAAAGACATAAGTTATATTTCAATTTGAATACAACTAATATTATAATTCCTTTTAGTACTCTAATTCACTCGGACGAGTGGGGCCCCTCCCCCGTTCCTTCAATTAATGGCTACATATATTATGTCACCTTCATCGACACATATTCTTGTTTTTGTTGAATTTATATAATGCATTCTAAAGATCAAACTCTTTCAAAGTTTATGCATTTCACTCAAATGAGTAATACATTCAACACTCAAATCAAAACTCTTTGCTCAAATGGTGGTGGTGAATTCTCTAGTCATAACTTTCAAAAATTCCTTTTAGGCAAAGGAATCACCCACCAATTAAGCTGCCCATACACTCTAGAGCAAAATGGATTAGTTGAACATAAACATTGCCACTTATTAGAAACAATCATAACACTCCTTCATGCAGCTCACATATCCCTACATTTCTAGGCTGAAGACTTACTCACCACCAACTATGTAACCAACCGCCTACCTACCAAAGCTTGCAACTCACAAATCCCCTTCCAACTCATTCATGGTGGTCATCTACCAACCTATGATCACTTGAAGACATTCGATTATTTCTACTTCCCTTGGCTCCGACCTTTAACCTCTCACAAACTTCAACCATACGCCCAAGAATGAATATTCCTTGACTACTCTTCTTCACATAAGGGATACCACTATTACAATCTTAAAACTAAAAGAATAAACATCTCAAGGCATGTCATATCCCATGAACAAACCTTCCCATACCATCCCCAAGCTCCACCACAACAATCTACTCAGCTGTCCATCACTCCATCTCCCCTAATGCTAATTCCCACCTCCACCATTCCTTCTCTCTCTACACCATTACGTGACACTACCCAACACACTTTATTACCTCCAACAAATTTTAACTCCTCCCAAACTGAACCACATGCTATCCAATCCCCTCCACATATCATTACTTCAAACTCAACATCCTCTTTACCCATATCTACCCAACAAGAAATTATTCTGTGCGGAGACCGGACACAGAACGTTATCCTGAGACCAACCAGAATGTGTCACGTCAGCGATACTGAGCGGTACTGAGCAGTACCGAGCCACGTTACCGAGTGCAGGGATGACTTGATGCATTCTAGTTGGTCTCCAGATGGCATTCAA